CCCAGGGCTCCCGAAGGACCAGAGGAGGAGGGAAGGGGGAGGGAAGGGGGGCAGCGAGAGGGACTCCGTTCAGGCTGGAGGCTTAGTGAAGCTGAAGTTAGGGTTCACTTGGACCGGGGTGAGGACAAGTTGAGGTGGAGGCTGCGAGTGGACTGGGATGGGGGGTGGCTGGGTCAGCAGGTGGCCGGACACCCTGGTCCCTGTTGGCTCGGTCACCCGGCTGCCAGCTGGCCCAGCTCAGCTTTTGCCTGAGAACTTTCACTTCCTCTGGCGGCCTGGCTCCTCGGCCACCTCAGTGCCTGCTGGAGGGGGATTTCTTGTTCCTGGGGGGGTGGGGGACGGAGGGAAGCATCGGGGATGTCCAGGCAGGGGGATCCCCAGGGCGCAGCTGCCGGGAATGAGATGGAAGGAAGGAGGCTGGGGCTGCTCAGGGAGGGCTTTGGGAGGGAGACAGGGGTGGGAGGGAGGCAGGGGTGGGAGGGAGGGGGCCGCAGGAGCCCAGGCCGGGGAGCTGGGGGCCTGGGCTCAGCTTCGGGGTCTGGAGCATGGGTGAGGGAGAGAGCACAGGAGCGGGACTGAAAGAGAGGCAAGAAAGCGCAAGACACAGGGTCAGAGCCTGTCTCCAGAAGTGAAGACAGAAAGGGAAACAGCTCCTCCCCGAAACTGAGACAGAAAAGGGACGGACCACAGAGGTGCCGGGGCAGGGAGCCTCAGAAGCCTGGTGGCCTGGGGACGGGAAAGAAGGGAGAAGAAACCGTCAGGAAGCAGGAAATGAGCTAAGATTAAAAGGTCAAACCAAGTGAAACAGAGGCCTGGAGAGGCCAGACGGGAGAGGGGAGGGTGTGGGGCCGCGAGCCGGTCTCCTGACCCCCACCTCCCATCCCCCACCCCTGGGCCACAGGGCTGTGTGACTTTCCCCACGGCTTGGCTTTCAGCTGCCCTTCTACCACGGCTGGGCTGGGGCCTGGGGGCGTCTGGGTTTGCTTCTGCTCCACTAGTTGCACAAACCTTTAAAAGGCCACGGGCCCCAGGGGCACAGAGATCAGAGTCCGAGGGTCTGCAACGGGCTGAGATGGGGGGGCCGGGGGCAGGGACCTGAGACCCGAGGGCCCCTAGAGGGGGAAGGAGAGGTGTGGGAGAAGCAGGGCTGTCAGGGGAACCCCCCTGCGGCGAGGGACACCTCTCCTGGTTGGGGTTACAGGGGAGGGGTGAGGCTCAGCTGGTCCATTCCCAACATGGAGCATCAAAAAGGGGCCCCTCTGCTCCATCAGGCCCCCTGAGTTTGGGGACCCAGCAGGAGGGACAAGATGCCTTGGGGTCTCCCTCTGCCCCTCCCCCAAATCCCCCTGGGGGGGCAGCCTCTCACACGCCCACCTACTGAGCAGCTGTAGCTAATAAGCACATTAAGGGAGGGCTCAAGACTAACCACTCCCCGCTGGGGGAGAGATCAAGGGGACAGACCAGAGGCATCCAATCAGATTGGGGGTTCAGCAGAAGAGTCGGGGGCGGTGTGCGCTTTTCCACTGTCCCCTCCGGGCCGGCCTCCCCACTGTCGCCCTTCAGTCCTCACCTGTGTCCACACACACACCCGCCCCACACAGCTGCCTCCCTGACATTCCCTCGGCGCTCTTTCTCTCCGACTCCGTCCCCCTGAATCAGTCAGCGACTCACCCACCAGGAAGGCTTGGCGGAGGCCAGTCAGCTGGACCCTGTGGTCAGTCCAGGCCAGACTCTTGGAAGACCCAGCAACAAAGTGACTTTTGATGCAAGTTTTGCTCTTCAGATAGGTAGGCAGCAGTGGGCTTGATCGCTCAGCTTTTTTTTTTCTTTTAATTCAGAGTGTGTCCCTTGTCTTTCTCATCCCCTCCCATCTGACTGTCGGTCCTCAGGCTTCCGGGCGAAGAGCCCAACACGGCGTCTTAGCTTAGGTTAGACCTGAGAGGCTCCGCCAGCCACCCCCCCCCCCCCCCCCGCCCCACCTCCACTTCTCTGCTCCAAAGTTTCGGCTTCAGCTCCTCTGCCCTGATTGACTGATTACAGCTCGGAGCCCGGAGTCAGATAGACCTGTTCCCGAGTCCGGCTCCGCCACCCGCGCGGGGATCTGATGCAAGGCTCCCAACTCTGTGGGGCCTTGATTTCCTCAGCTTATAAAATGGGGATAATAACGCCCACGTCAAGGGGCTTCGGTGAGGACCCGGGAAGGAGCATATGGAAAGAGAGGTCAAGCCCAGAGCCAGGCCATGACAGGGGCCCATTTCATATGAACTAACTCTCACAAAGGTAAGATCTGCTTTGGACATTTCCTCTGGCCCCAAGCTCTGGCTTATGGCTCACTCCCCACTGTTAGCAGCCTTCTCTGTGTTGCGTTGTTAAATAATGACCTAAAACCTACCTGTGGTGTAATAAGCGCTTGTATCACCCAAGAAGACGGCTCGTATTATCAGTAACCAGAATGACGGTGGCAGTGACAAGAATAGTCGCTTGCTGCTATGACCCTTCAAAAAACACAGAGCGCTTAGGAGCAGCCCCTCTGATCATTCCAGATTGGGTTATGATCCTCTGATTTATAGCTCTCCACACTGGCCCTCTGAGACCCCGCTGTAGCCGGGCAGGGCGCCCCAGGCCCTGGGAGCTTAGTTCACCGCACAGGAGGGAGGGAGTTGGGGGCCTGGGGTGGGGGCTCGGGGGACAGAGCGGGTTACCTCCCCCTCAGCCTTGGGAGCACCACCACCAGAACTGCAGGGTAAAATTGGAGCACAAGGAATTGAGAGGAAGCACCAAGAGCGATTCTTGGACACAAAGGCAGGGACTGAGGGTCGGTCAGCTCCTTGGGGCTCCAGCACAAAGCGGGGGTGCTTGAGGGGACACGTTTGGGAGGCCTTGCAGCAGCGAGGACTTCCACATCCACGCACCAAGCTCCTCAGAGACCTGAGGGTCTGGGTGGGTCCCCTACAAGCATGGGGGAGACCAGGAAATGGGGAGGGGGCGGGGGGGCTTGACCACATCTACTGATCCCACTTGTGGTTTCTGTGTTTGGGGTTTTCTCCCTTTGAGGGCCAGAGGCGGGGTGTAGCCCACCCGGGGGGGCAGAATATCATACGTCTTGAATTGAGGTCTTGCGGACGCCATTCCAATTAAGGGCTGTGTGACTTTCAAGAAGTTCCTCGCCCCCTCTGAGCTCAGCTCAGCTCCTGGGCTGGGGGCGCACGAGGACCCTCCTCCGAGGTGGGTTCATCTTCCTCCTCATGCCAGACCCTGAAGCTGCCCTGAGGTCTCCCATCCTCTAGACCCAGCAGCACAGGGTCCACGGACCGCCTTCCCTCGGAACCTCTCACCCCTGTGCCCCCTCTGCCCCGGTTTCCTAAGGTGAGGTGGGAGGGGCCCCAATTCACTTCCCAAGGACAAGGCGGGAGAGGAGTTGGGGGCTTCTGTTTCAGGGGAGGGCAGAGAAGTTCCAGAATGTCAGCTGTCAGTTTAGAGGGGTGGGAAAACCTTGCACAGACCCCGAGCTGGCGTGCACCTGCTCATCACCATCCACCTTAGTTTCTGGAGGTGGCCTCTGCTCCAGCCAGACTGGGTGCCCCCAGGAGCACCCCGCCCCCGGGGCTCTTGGTTTGTCAGTTGACCCCCTGGAGCCAAGCGTCCCCTGGGAAAGGAAAAAGCAGGAGACCAGATGACCTCTGGGGGAGGTAGGGGTGGAGAGGGCAGGGAGAGTCTCCCCAGCTGAGGTGTCTGAGACCCCGTGATATCCTGGCCCCCAGCAACTTCTGGGGTACCCCACGGGCTCTTGCTCTTCACAGCAGGGTCTGCAAACGGGAGGCATTGGCATCACCTAGGGGCTGGTTAGAAATGTGGAATCCCGGGTACCACCAAGTCCCTCAGAATCAGAATCTGTATCTTGGAGAGATTCTTACACATGTTAGTGTTTGAGACGCACTGATATAAAGTATTTTTTTTTTTACAGTTTATTTATTTTTGAGACAGAGAGAGATAGAACATGCGCGGGGGAGGGGCAGAGATAGGGAGACACAGAATCCGAAGCAGGTTCCAGGCTCTGAGCTGCCAGCACAGAGCCCGACGTGGTGCTCGAACCCATGAACCGCGAGATCATGACCTGAGCCGAAGTCGGTGCTTAACTGACTGAGCCACCCAGGCGCCCCAAGACGGGCTGCTGTAGACAGCGGGTTCTAAGTCCAGACAACACAGTGTGTGAGGAAGGGGTGTGGCCACTGAGCCCACTGTCTGGGGCTTTCCCGCTGGGAGCCTCGAGATGTAAAGTGAACAGGCCACTGCAGGCAAGCCCCCCCCCATGCCCTCCAGACCTACTGGCCTAGTAAGTTCTGGCTGAGAGCAGGGCTCACATCATCCCCGCTTCCCCCCCCCATCCCCCGAGACTAGACAGAAACCCAGAGCCAGGTCCTATAAGCCACCCATCTGTCACCCACCTTGCAGGTAACGCCCACCCCAGGAGCAGCCCCACCCCTGCATGTCCCCCATGCCCTGTGGGTGCTCTGCCCCTGGGATCCTCCTCCCTCAGGGACTAGAAGGCAGCCCTCAGCCCCAGCTCCATCTGGAAGGTCTGGCACGGGCCGGGTTCTGTCCTCCCTTGGCCTGCATCAGGCAAGCTTGTGTCTCGGGGGCCAGACCCCATCTTCGGTGGCCGGGGTTCAGTAACTCCGCGAATGTTTACAGAGTACGTGGAGCCCAAGGCCTGTGCTGGGCCGTGACCCAGACAGCCGGGGCTCCTGGCTGTGGGAGCCACCGCTCCGAGGGGAAGACAGAGAGCAAGCACATGAAGACACCGCTGGCAGCTTCGTTCCCACCGGCAAGCACTTCCTGAGCACCTACAACGTGCCAGGCGTCTGCTGGGCGCCCGGGGCTCGCTGGCGAGAAAGCACAACCCCGCTGCCCTCCCCCGACGTGTGCAACGACCCCGCACCTAAAGGTACGGGTGTGCGTATCTCCCTCCTGCCCCCACTCAAGGTTTACAAAGAGCCCACGATTTGTCACATTTCCTCCTGTTTTCTCTTGGGAAACACTCCAATCCTATTAAAGCCCCGAGAGGAGGCCTCGTTCGGTGTAAACCCCCTGCGGGGCGGATACAGGACCCTCTGCCTCCTCTCCCTCCGTGCAGTCCCGGGTCGGCCATCTCCAGAGGAGGCCGGGCCCTGCCCTCCGTGTGGGGGAGCTTGCTGCCTGCCGCCCGGTCCCCCGCCTCAGGGGCCCTTGTCCCTGTCACCCTCCTCTCTCCCTGCTTTTCTTTCCTCTGTCCTTCGCCTCCCTCCTAAGCAGTGACCATTTCCTGCAGGCCCGGACGCGGCCCTCGGGCCCCAGGGAAGACCATGCACTGCGGCTGCGGGGCCCAGGGCGTCCCTGCCTTTGCGGGCAGCCCCTGGGTCTCAGGTGAGCCTCCACCGGCAAACCCCCCCCCCCCCAGGTCGTCAGGCTGCAGAGGGGCGGCCCGGGGAGGGGCAGGGTTGCCGGGCGCCGTGGCACTCACGCCCCCTCCCCCCAGGCTGGGCCTTCCCCGACTGGGCCTACAAAGCGGAGTCGTCCCCCGGCTCCCGGCAGATCCAGCTCTGGCACTTCATCCTGGAGCTGCTGCAGAAGGAGGAGTTCCGCCATGTCATCGCCTGGCAGCAGGGCGAGTACGGCGAGTTTGTCATCAAGGACCCCGACGAGGTGGCCCGCCTCTGGGGCCGCAGGAAGTGCAAGCCACAGATGAACTACGACAAGCTGAGCCGGGCCCTCAGGTGAGGAGCGGCCGCCAGGTGGCCACAGAGGTCAGAGTTCAAAGGCGGGGCTGTGGTTGCTGGCAGCACTGTCCCCCCAGACTGGTGGGGTGCCCAGGGGGCTCCCAGGAGCGCTCGGGGTAGGCCCGCCGGCCCGGGGAGGGGCACGGCTGGCCCGACCCTGCGTTCTCGACCTTGGAATCAGCAGATATTACTACAATAAGAGGATCCTGCACAAGACCAAAGGCAAAAGGTTCACGTACAAGTTCAACTTCAGCAAGCTGATTGTCGTCAGCTACCCTCTGTGGGAGGTGCGGGCACCGCCTCACCCCCTGCTGCTGGGGGCCCCTGCGCTGTTCCGGCCAGCCCTGGTGCCCACGGGCGTGCCCAGTGAGGTAGGCGCCCCCAGCCCTCCTCCCTGCCCTGGAGCCCCAGCAGCAGAGGCAAATGTCTTCTCCCCCTGCCTTCTAGTCCCCAAGCCCCCGGGGGCAGGGGTGTCACCCTGAAACGCGTCCAGGTGGTGCAGCGTGTGCCTGGGGGCAGGGGTGGCGCCTGCGGGGGGGGGGGATCCCAGGAAGAGGGGTGGGGGTCTCGGGGAGGAGCCTGGGCCCGTGGGCAGTGGCTACTTAACCATTGTGGGAATATTTCATCGTTTTAATGAGCCGTTGTTAGAACAGCGCGAACTGGAGAACACTCGCGGGCCCAGCCCGTGCCGCCCTCACCCCTGCTTCTCACTCCCCAGCTCCGGCACAGTGCGCTGCTCGCCCAGCGGGCCACGGCAGAGCAGCTGACTGGGCAGCGGACCCCCCAAGGGCCGCCAGAGGTCTCTGAGGATAAGAAGGGGAGCAGCAGCGCCCCCTGTGAGTGCTTGGGCCCGGGGAGGGCACGGGGATTGCAGGCGGGACCCTCCTGGCTGAGCGCGAGGGAGAGAGGCTTGAGACAAGGGACAATAAAATTATTCATTCAATCAACAAACTGAGCACCAACTATCCCCTAGGTGTGGTGGCTCAGAGGGGCAAGATGGGCCTCAAGATGCCCAGAGAATGGAGGGGGTGGAGAAGGAGGGACAGTCAGGGACAGGTGTGGAGAGACTCAGGGAAGCGCCAGGTGCTACGGGCATGCAGAGAAGGAGTGGGCGTCCCGGAGGCGGCGGCCCCTGCACCTGGTGAGAGAATGGTGTTTGTAAGGCGGGGAGCCATGAGCAAGGGTAGCAACAGTGAAGGAGGGGAAGGACCCCTGGTGGCCTGTGGCGGCCAGAGAGCGAGGAGCGTGATGGCCGTGGAGACAGGGAGGACGGGCCGCACGTGAAGCTGGCAACACAGCCAGGCATCCAGGCGTGGAGGGCTTGGACTTCACCCCAGGGCGGGAGGCACCCAGGAGGGAGCCGCGCATTGAGATTTTCATGTCGTAAAGACGCCCCGGGGGACACGCACAGTTTGGGTTGGAGGAGAGGTGTGGTGGGTACTGGCTTCGGAGGATCTTCCAGGCGGAGGATGATGGGGCAGAGCGAGGTACGGGCACCAGGTGGAGAAGGAGCTTCCCTGGAGTGGAGATGGGAGTGAGGGAGAAGAGCATGGCAGGCAGAGAGAAGCAGTGTGTGCAAAGGCCCTGGGGCAGGAAAGAGGCACTAGGAAAGGCCATCATGGCAGCACTGGCAATCCCAGAGGGAGTCAGTGGAAATACAGACAGAGGTCAGCTCTCCCAGGGCCGTAAACAGGGAAGGGACAAAACCAGATTCTCCGTGAGGAAGGTCACAGAGACACCTGAGCAGCCTGAGGCTTTATACAGCTGCCTCAGACCTGCCCCTCCTCCCCAGGCCATTTCCTGGGAGAAAGACCCTGGGCCTTAGCCCTCCCCCCAGAGCCGGGCACCTCTGGGCCCCAGAGTGCAGCCGAGGGTGGGTGAGGGTGGCCCAGAGCCTGCTGGGACTCGCTGGGCCACCGGTCTGGGCCCTGGAGAGAGACAGTGCCAGCCCGGCACCCCTGTGCTCCCACTGCCCACCACTCCTGGCTCCGGGAGCTCCCGGCACAGAGCTTTCTCTCTGGGACACCGTGAGGGGGAAAGCAATGTCCCCGGCGAGCCCCAGCTTGGAGTGGGCCGTCTGCACCTCCCTGCCAGCTGTGGGGACACACACACACACACACACACACACGCACGCACGCGCACACACACGAGCTGCCTGGCTGAGGTCACCTGAAGGCTGTGCCGGCCCCTCACCCCCATCTCCACTCCGGGGAAGCTGCTTCGCTGGAAGAGGAGCCAGGACGGTGAACCCGAGGCACAGGCTGCAGGCACTGTGCTCGGAGCAGGCGTGGGCGGGGGAGCGGGCGGGGCGTGGAGCGGGGGGCGGGGCGTGGAGGGCGTGGGGCGGGGCGTGGGGCGGGGCGGGCGTGGTGTGGCGTGGGGCGTGGAGGGCGGGGCGGGGCGTGGGGCGTGGGCGGGGCGTGGAGGGCGGGGCGGGGCGTGGGGCGGGGCGTGGAGGGCGGGGCGGGGCGGGAGCAAGGCTCCCGGCTCAGACCGTCTCCTCCCGCTCCTGAGCCGGGATCTGATCTCCGAGGGCCGGTGCAGCCCTGGAGAAGGGCAGTGACCCCAGGGAGCAGGGCCCTGCCTACCGTTTTCGCGCTCGTAGATCTGCCTTCAGAAACACCGTTCCCTTCGAACACACTGGACGTGCTGAGCAGTAACTAACTCGCTTCTCCAGTTTTTACTAAGTACAGCCCCACCGATGTGATGGCACCGGTCTTCCAGTTCGGTGGCGCAGCCTTGCTAACAGGCCTCGGGGGGATCGCGCCTGGGCTTTTTGGAACACAGACAGTGCTGTGCGGTTCTGCTAGTGGCCCCGGCCCGGTCCGGCCCAACCCCGGGGCCGCAGGGTTGCAGGATATGCCCGCAGGGCCGGAGGGTCTGGAAGGAGGAGCGGAGGGAAGGATTCTGGGGGAGCAGGGCCAGGGCCCAGCCAGCCGCGAGCCTGGGCCCCCCACGCGCGGGCCTGCGCTTGATCTTCGCCAGCAGAGGGGCCTGTACAGACGAGGGGGTGGGGGTGGGGCACTGGGATTTCCAGGACAACGTGGGGCGCACGCCGGAGGCAGAGCCCTGTGTGCGGGGGGCGCAGACAGGGGCTCACTGAGGTCCAGCAGTGTCCTCATCCCCGCCTCCCACACCCTCGTACTGAGCTCTTAGGACGCGCCAGGCGGGTCCAGGGGAGAACGAGACAGGCGCGGTTCAGGTCCGCACAGGGCGGGCGGGGGGTGCAGACATTGCGGGGGAGGTAACCACACTAGTGGGGCCAAGGGCCCAGGGCCCAGGAGGAGAGGGGCAGGAGCCACGAGGGGCGCCCCCAGGGAATAGACCGGAAGCAAAACAAACAAGAAGGTGCAGCAGGGAGAGGAAGTTTCCAGCAAGAGGAAAAGGAAATTGGACGTGGGTGGAGAAGGGGCATCCCTCCTGATCTTCTCTCTCTCTCTCTCTCTCTCTCTCTCCATCATTCCCCCCCCCCCCCCCGCAGGCCTTGGGTCTCTCCCAGCCCCCTGCCAGCTTGGCCCTTGCTGCCTTCTGGGGAGGCCCCGAGAGGAGCTGCCCGGTCTGGCCTCCTTGGCCCCTCCCCTCCTGCCCTCCCTCCCTCCCGACTGGACCCGCCTCTCAGGGCCCTTCCTGCCCCCTGTCCCCCCAGAGCGGCTGTTCCCGGGGAGCTCCAAGCCAGACACCCTGCTCCCCGGACTCGGCTGCCCCCCAGCGCCCCACCACTTTCCGGGGCTCCCCCTGTTGGCTGGGCTGGGACAGGGGGCTGGCGAGAGGCTCCGGCTCTTGTCCCTGAGGCCCCAGGGGCTGGAGGGAAAGCCCTATCCCGTGGTGGGGGAGAAGGGACACCTAGACCCCAGGCAGAGCTTCTCCTCGGTGATACACAGACCCAAAACTGGGGACGAAGGCCCAGTGTCCCCCCATCTGGAGAACGTCAAAGCGGTGTGGCCCCTGGATCCTCCTTAATTGGGGAGAAGATGGGAAGTGGGGGTCCCCCAAACTCCATGTCCCCTCCTGTATATTCCCTTTCCGGCTTTGCTCCTTCCCTGGCCTGGAAACAGGTTTAAGTTGCAGGAGGCTTTGAAGGGGTGGAGTTGGACAAAAGGGGGTGGGGGGCATTGCAGGGGTGGGGAGGACTGAGTCAGGGTGACCCTCCCCTCTCACCAAGTGATGAATCAGATTAAGGAGACCTCCTTAATCTCAGCTGTCTTCAGAGGAGATGCGATTAAGGTTTCTGTCACTTGAAGCACCCCCACCCGCCCATATGGGGGAGAAAGCGAGCATCTGGGGGGGCTGCCCCCTTACCCAGTCTCTCTCCTGCCCCTCCATGCGCTTCGCCCTCAGCCTCTGGTGTCTGTGACCCTGGGAGCTCCTGTCCTAGGCGGGCACTTCCTACGGTCATCATTTCCCCAAGACCCAAGTCCCCCGGGCAGGGAGGGCCCGGCCTCCTCAGCTCTGTAATTCGCCGCCGCAGACCACGAATAAAGCCTTGGCAAACCATACTCTTGGCTGACCTTCCCGCTGCGTCCACGCTGCCCTGCGCAGTGTGGGGCGACACGCCACCCCGGGCGCTCGTGGGAGGGGTGACGGGCCGAGGAAGGGCACTGCCACCATCCCCCAGAGAGAGGCCGGGAGAAGAGGTGGCGAGGAGCCGCCTGAGCCGAGGGTGCAGCGGGTGAAGGGGGGCCCTTCCTCGTCCCCAGTCCTCAGAATGACCAGAGGAGCTGAGGGAAGCAGGGGACACACGTGAGGGAGGGGCTTTTGAACAGCGCAGAATGTTCCAGAAGCCGAGGCGAGTGAACCGTATTGCTCTCCCGTCCCTGGGCCGCCGATCACAGGCTTAGGACTAGTCTCCACTTCCTTTCCGGGACGCGGAGCGGGAGGGGAGGAGGCACGAGGGGGGGGGTCCCGTGTGCGCCTGCGGCTGCTGCGGCCTTGGGGGTGCGTGCGTTTTGCTTTCTGCGCCCTCTCGTCTCGTGGCAGATGCGTGGTTGTCACAAACGGAGTGGGGCAGGAGAGGCCCAGAGCAGGGCAGGGCCGGGCCCCCGCCCCGGGGAACCCCGGATACAGGCGGGCGCATGCCTCGGGGTCTCCCTCCCCGGAGATGTCAGGGGCTCGGCTTCTCACTGGCTCCCAAGGCGCAGGCGCAGCCCTAGGCCCGCGGGAAGGAGGAACCGGCGTCCGGGGTCTTCCCCTCGCCCTGCCCCGTTTGGGACACAAAGAGCTGTGTGGTCTCCTGGCACAAGGAGCTGGCTCGCACTGTCATGGGGCCTGGGCCTTGTTCAGAGAGGCCAACCCCCCAGACGGGGTCCCGTACCGGGGACCCCATGTTGCCTCTGCCTTCCCCTCCCCATGGTCCGCGGTTCACGTTGCTGTGATGCCCACGTTTCAGGCGATGAGCAGGGTTTGCCAGTCACTGCCCTAAGATGTCCCTCTGGGGTGGGGGAGCCCGGGACACCGCCGCGGCGGGTCCCCAGGACGTACACTTCCGGGTGGCTGCTCAGCTCTGCGTGACGCAGTTTCTCGGCCTCGGCGGTGCGGACGTCGGGAGCTGTCCTGTGCGTTCCTGTGCATCGGTACCTCCCCGGCCTCCGGACACCAGCCGCACCCTCAGCTGTCCCCAGGGGGAGGGAATTGTCCCTGGTGGAGGGTGGCTTCGGGTCCAGATGTTCTGGCAAATCTGGGCCCTGCGATCCCCAGCGCGGAGAGCTACGCGCGGTCCATGTTGCGAGAGTGCCCTCTGGCGGCCAGGCCTCCTCCAGCCACGCGCCCGCTCCCAGTGGAGGGAACAGGGTGATGGGCACCTTGGGGTCGTCTCGGATTAGGAAGGGATTTGCAGCCTCTCAGTATGAAACCCTCCCGTCTCAAATCACGGAGGAGCCACCAAAGGCTCCACAGGTCTCACGTGACAGCAGACAGCAGGTGACCAGCTCCTCTGGGACAATCGGGTGCAGCCATCAACCCTGGACACCACAGTCTTGGCTGCCTGTGGCCGGAAAGGCACGGGGTGGATACTCCGCCCTCTTCCAGGACAAGACGCACAAAGTCAGTGCATCAACCTTCCCTCCTCCCGGACGCTCGTCCCTCCAGAGACTGGGACACTCGTGTGGGTTCAGGCAGGGTTAGGCATCACGTGCCCGAGTTTCACGAGGTTAGGCTGTTGGGAGCTGGAAGGGACCTTTGTGATCACAGCCCAGAGCGAGGGAGAAACTTGCCCCAGTCACACGTGTGGAGGGGCCACATGTAAAATCAAAGTGCCCCAGGTAAGGGACCGTTCATCCCCCCCACCATCATCACGTGGACTGAGAGCGTAAGATGCCCTTACATTCCTTAGAAATGAGAGTAGATTACATATTGAGAGGGAAATTTTACGTTATTCCTGCGTGATTTTTAGCATGACCATAGTAGCAAACGTTTCCCTTTTTGTGTGCATTTCAGGACCTGATGACACTGGCTCGTGCTGCCATGTCACCGCCTGATGTGCATGAGCGTCGTGTCCCCACGAGGCTGGTACTCTCAGGGCGGGTTTAGAGGGAAGGTGTTTGTCACTAGTACACTTGATTTGCATGTGCAAGAGGCCTTGGGATTTAAAAACAAAAGCGAACCATTTGCTGCCCTGAGTTGTTGGTGGCAGTGAGGAGACTCCTACCCTCTCCCTCTTTGTGCCTAATGAGGACCCTGCCCAGGAGCGGAGGAAAAAATCCCAGTACCACATATGTGCTCTGTACACGCACGTATGCACACGCGCACATAACTCAACAAACGTTTCTTCAACACCTACTATGCGCCAAGTATTGGGCTGCCCGGCACTGTGGTCCGGGTGACCGCCCTTAAGATGCTTTCATCAGCAAACGTCAGAGTCGGGAAGCCAGCGTGGGGGAGAGAGGAGGAGGGTCTGCGGGTGAGCGGGGGAGGGGGAAGCTCCTTGGCAGTCACTGCGGGAGCCCTGAGGGTAGCGTGCCTGAGGGGCAAGCTTCTTCCTAATTAATGTTCAACATCTAATTTAAAGATCAATTTTGTGGGGCTCCCAGGTGGCTTAGTCGGTTAAGCGTCCAACTTCAGCTCAGGTCATGATCTCACCATCAGGTCATGATCTCACTGCCCTTGAGTTCGAGCCCACATGGGCTCTGTGCTGACAGCCTGAAGCTTGTTTCAGATTCTGTGTCTCCCCTCTCTCTGTCCCTCCCCCATTTGTGCTGTCTCTCAAAAATAAATAAACGTTTAAAAAAATAAAAAATAAAGATTAGTTTTGTTTAGTAATCAAACTACTTTAAAATACCTAAAAGTGAGGGGCGCCTAGGTGGCTTAGTTGGTTAAGCATCTGACTCTTGATTTCGGCTCAGGTCATGATCTCACAGTTTGGGTTCAAGCCCCTCGTCAGGCTCTGTGCTGACAGCTCAGAGCCTTGAGCCTGCTTCAGATTCTGTGTCTCCCTCTCTCTCTGACCCTCCCATGCTCACACTGTCTCTCTCTCTCAGAAATAAATAAAAAACATTAAACAAATTTAAAGTTATTTACTTATTTTGAGGAAGAGAACGAGCAGGGAAGGGCCAGAGAGAGGGAGAGAGAGAATCTCAAGCAGGCTCCACATTGCCAGCTCGGAGCCCAACACGGGGGCTCGAACCCACAAACGGTGAGCTCATGACCTTAGCCAAGATCAAGAGCTGGAGGCTTAACCCACTGAGCCCCCCCAGGCGCCCCCAGAAGGCATTTCCAATCCCCGAGTACACTCACAGGCCATATGTGCCAACTGCTCGTAAAGTTATCAAAACACATACAAAGTCTGTGATCACTTTTTGCACTGAGTGCTACTTCATAAACACCTCACCATGTGCTGAGTCCGTGGTGGCCAGGTCACCATGGCGGATGTTGGGTCATGGTGACTCGGCCTGTATTTAACTGTTAGCCTTTCAGTGACCTTCTAGGTGGTTTCTCTTTCTTTGCTTTGTAAATACAGTGGTTTCAAAACCTTTATCCAAAGTTATCATCTTTTTTTTTTCTTTTTTTGAATTAATTCCTTGAGCTACATCCTCAGAAATGAAATAACTGGCTCAAAGCTCATGACACTTGAATGACTTTAGATACATATTGCCCAGCTGTCCCCAGAAAGGATTGTAATATTTTGGAAAGCCACATCCACGCACCACTCACTAGGGCCCAGCCATGGTGTAAGTTTCTTTCATCCAATGCCTACAGCAGCTGGGGGGGTGGGGGGGCAGGCATTATTCTCACCCCACTTCACAGATAAGGACACCAGGCATAGACAGGCAAGCCAGCCTGTCTCGAGGTCATGATCTTGCTGTTCGTGAGTTTGAGCCCCACATCAGGCTCTGTGCTGACAACTCGGAGCCTGGAGCCTGCCTGGAATTCTGTGTCTCCCTCTCTCTCTGCTCCTCCCCCACTCATGCTCTGTCTCTGTCTCTGTCTCTCAAAAATGAATAAAACATTAGCAACAATTTTGAAAAACATATAATAAAATAAAATCTTTTAAGGGATGCCTGGAGTAGCTCAGTCGGTTAAGCATCAGACTTCAGTTTAGGTCATGATCTTGCAGTTCGTGAGTTCGCGCCCGTGTCTGAGCTCTGCGCTGACAGCTCAGAGCCTGGAGCCTGCGTCGGATCCTGTGTCTCCCTCTCTCTCTCTGCCCCCCGCCACCCCCACTCACGCTCTGTCTCTCCCAGTCTCTCAAAAATGAATGAACATTTTTTAAAAATTTTAAATAAAATCTTTTAAAAGATATTGCAAATTCATATACGGCCAGGTAAGGACAGAGAGAGGAAACAGGGATAGGTGAACAGAGAGAAAGGAAAACAGACGGCCCTTCAGAAGGCCTTGTTTGAGGAAAAGGGGGAAGAAAACTATCGGGCCCAGGCACCACTTACCTCATTCAGTGTTAAAAAGGTAAATTATTTTGATAAGACACGCCCTCCCCTTACTGGGCTCAGAGCTGTTCTTTCCATTTGAAA